ACCTGGAAGAGTCATAGAGGTATTGATTTTCTCTCCACGAGAATCCAGTACTTTGGCACCAAGGAGTCTATTAGAAACCCAGTAGAGGGGCAGACTATTGGAGCAGTAATGCTGTGAACTTTCCATCTCATGCTGAGCCTATGTGTAATGTAAATTCAGCTTTAGATCACAAATGCCATTACTTTCCAGTGACTTTTATTCCATGGAAACCACTCACAGTTGGGAGATTGGGATGTATATAATAGTATTGCCCAGTGGAATTGATTCATGTGGGATTTTCAATGCCATGTGGCCTCACTTAGCCCCTTTGTTAGAAACAAGCAGGAAAATGTAGATAATATGAGGTGCTTGAACCTGGAGCTTGCAAGAAGGCACAGAGGTTGAATTCTGTGAGATGTGGGGGTCACTTAGTTCAGTGAGTTGAACCCAAAGAATGGAATGGTAGGAAAACACCATGGCATTTTTGATAATTTGTAGAGTTTATGTAGAGCATAAACAAGCTGTTGCAGAAGCTGAAGAGCATTTTTGGATGAGCTTCATTCTTCTCTCACAACACTTTAGTGCCAAGGTATAAAGCAGTTATTTGGTTAGCTGAGGACCCCTTCTGCACATGGAAGTCCATTTTTGGATCCAGCTCAGTGTCTTTAGGAGGGAAATGAGCCTCCTATCATTTCCCGTATCTCAATGACTGTCTTCTATAAAGCATTGACTTGCCTAACATCCAGTTGGAAATAACATCTCCCCAAAGCAAATATTTTTTTGCTTACCTTGCTCTCTGGCTGAAAGAAATGGGTGAAGCACCAGGTGGTGCATTTAAGACTTTCTGGGAGCCTGAGTAGAGGATGTCAATTCCTGTGTGCTCAACAGGGGAGAAAAAATGTTAATAAGTGTTCCTTCACTATGGCAGATGTCCTGGTCAGTTCTGTGCTACCAGGATTGTTTGTGGAAAGTTGTGGCAATTAAAAATGAAATAAAGCCAATATAAGTGCAATATGTATAGAGCAGTGCTTCTCAAATGGTGGCCTGTGGACCACAAGTTTCCATTGCATGTCTGTAAAAACACAAATAATCATACAGCACTAACACAGTGCATTAACATTGCTATAACAGGCATGAAAATGATTAAGCTGTCTGCCAAGACCCTCAGCAATTTTCAAGTAGTCCATGGGAGGAAAAATTGAAGATGTTAGGCAAGATACTTGTTTGTTTATTACTAAATGTCATAAATTACTTCCCCAACCTGGTGACCTCCAGATGTTTTGGATGCACTTCTTGCTGGTGGAGTTTGTAATCCAGAACATCTGCAGGACACCAAGTTGGGGAAGACTTTCATATACTTAGGGAGAAGCTTGGACACTAGTTTCAGATTTACCTACTTGTCCTCTAGAATGTGGCAAAGGGCCAGAGACATCTCCTATACTATATTTTTGTATTCCTCTTCTCTTAGCAAATCTTCTGCCTTTATCTTCTGCCTTCTCCAATGATGATGAAGGAAAGATGCAAGTTATTCTGATTAGGAACCTCAACCATTTCTACATCAATGGTAAACATTTGTGCTACAATGACAGATTGTTACATCTTGCTCACCTTGCTGGTCCATAAGAATTGGAGCTCCACCCAGTGATGCTACAGCATCCACCAGTAGTAAACAATTATATCTAAAACGAGGAAGGAAAGAATAGAGATTTAGCATGCTATGGAAGGCAGGGCTTAACTTGCAAAAAGGTCATCTAGATCAGATTTCTCTGTGTGCAAGTGCACTACCACACATTCTGTTGTTTTTAAGTCATATTCATTGCTATTTCACTGTTAGACATTGATGCCAGTTGGCAGAGCTTGGTGGAATGCATCTGGGCTGGGTTTCTCTCTCCCCCCACTCAATTGGTCTTCCCCTGCTGCTCTCTCTTTTCCATTCTGGGCAGATGTGGGTATCCAGGAAGTGCACAAGAATGTAAGAGTAAATGTTAGTATCCTTATCTAACCAGTTACCATGTTTCACAATGAGCAAAATGGAGGCTTGTACTTTTTCTGTGGTTGACTGAATATTAATTCTAAACAAACAAAAAAACAAACATGAGGTTTGAGTCAGAAGAAAAGAACTTAGTTATGCGTATATTAGAGAGCTCCAAATGCACAGTGAACAAACAAACAACTTTTCCAAAAAGATATAGTAGATGTGGAGCTCTTGTGTCTTTTCATTTGGCTTTAAGCAATTGATAACAGCTCTCTTATTCAGATTTTCTAAGCATAGTGGAATCTTTTGGATTTAGGGAAAAGAAAGTGTGGATACAGCAAGTAGTTGAAGGAGAATGCCACATGGGCAGGGGGAATTAACGGAGGCACAAGGGGTTCACATCCACACTAAGCCAAGGTATGGGTGGGCCCACAGTAAAATTAGGCAGCTTAGACTGCAGCCTTGAGGCCTTTGTTTCTGAGGCAAATAACGTGTTTGACCTCCATGACTCACTGACCTGTGACAGAGTTCTCCAAGGCCATCAGGGGCTGAAGCACTCCAGTGGAGGATTCTCCATGTGTGAATGAAAATAAAAAGGGGGATGTTGTCACTAAACCGCTAGGAGAGGCAAACGGGGGCAAAGAGTCAGACAAGACAAAAAACAGGGGAGGAGTAGGTGAACAGTAATTTCTCCTAGTAGGTGGGAGACTAAATTGCTATGAAACTGGTTGTCCCAACCATTTACATAAGAAAGCACATAGACTGCAGGTTTGCACTTAGAGCTGTATTTATGTATCTAAATTATCTATATAATATCCTGCCTTTCAGGATACAAACTCTCCCAATAAACATGCTCTTTGCTGCTACTTTCAGCTACTTTGCTCACATTACTCACCTTTTCTATTTCTTCTAGAGTGAACACTCTCCAGGGGCCTTTACTAGCTGATGAACGTCTGCTCTAAAAAAGGTAATGGATTACAAATAATGTTACTTGAACTTTGTTAAAGAGAAGCAAAGGACAAAACTGTTCCTAAGGCTCCTGTGAAGCACCAACATTCATTCCAATTAGATAATAATAAAACCCTTCTAGGGGAAGGTAGGATATAATATTCTATATTTATTATTATTATATTTATATCCCACCTTTCTGCCAAGGAGCTCAAAGTGATGTACATGGTTTCCCTCACTGGTACTTCAATTTTATCCTCACAATGACCGCTCTGAAGTAGGTTAGGCTGGCAGATAGTGACTGGCTCAAAATCACTCATAGAGGGGTAATTTCACTGGGTTTCAGTTTCCTTGGATTTAAAAGAAGAGGGCCTGACTAAGCAGCTTTTAGAGGCTTCACTTGACTAGTTTGGATTTTGGTGATCCCTGAAAAGGAATGAGACGTGTGCTAATAAGGACTGAGTATGCCTCAGTGCACCCTGAAACTATATTTGAAAAGTGGTTTGGACCAGGAGAAATTACAATCTAGACACAGGTTGAAGACTCTGGATTGTTGGTTCAGCTGATTGGTTATGACAGTGAGCTTCTTTGACATTTTCACTTGACGGCATTATGACGTCAGGTGATTTGAGAGGTTATGGTCCTGCCCATCTGTCAAAACTGACCTGCAGGGAATGAATCAGCTCTTGATCAGACCCTTGGTGTGAAAAAGGTTCCCTACCCCTGATTTAGCTCAACAAAGTCCATCAAAATAGCCAACACATGAGAATGCAAGTTTTAGGTTTAGGGGTGGAGTACCATTCCTGGTGGACTGATGGGAAGACAGCAAATCACTTCTCACTTGGTAGCAGTTCACAGCAAGTTACCGTTAAGAGAGCCACAGGCGCTTCTGTTTGAAATGGGTCATGTATTAACAAGTACATAGCAGCACCTTTTCCAAAGTCCATTCAAGCTCCATGGGAACCTCTAGAGTATATGATGATTAACTTGGAGCAGGAAAGAAGCGTTTGATTATTAAAAACAAATTGGGAGGAATTCAACTAAGTGTTAAGCTGCAGTCCCATAGTGGTGTACAAGTCGCACTAGCAGAGAAGGTTCTTGTGGCCTGGTTGCACAGCAGATTGCAGTAGCCCCAATACATCCTGTTGCACTGGATTTCATATTATACAGCCATTATTCTCACCCTTACATGAGTGGTGGTGGCTGGTGTTTCAAATTTTGCATTCAGTGTGGTTTTACAACTCTTAAGTTACTTTGAAACGTATTATGCAGTAAGCAATGAATAAACGAAATAAATAATACTATAAAGGAATGATAGGTTTGAAGGAAAAGGTTCCAAAAAACATACCAAGTCTTTTGGCAATGCCAGTTGCACGTTCACCCCAAAATCCATTCATAGCTATGAGCACTTTGTCTCCCTGCTCCACCATGTTCAAGAAAGCTGCTTCCATGGCACAATGGCCGGTGCCACTGACAGCCAATGTGAGAGGGTTCTGTGTCTGAAATGCATACTGGATTCCAAGCTTGATCTCATCCATTATCTGAGGGCAACAGAGAAGATAATCAGTGTTCAAAGAAACTTTCCAAGGCTGGCAGTGCAAGTGTATTTATGCCTGTGGATTCTGACAGTGGCATTCATAGGAGGAAGAGATAACCCATTAAAAGTTTCTATACACTTTGATGGACAAAAGACAACATCCAGAAAGGGCTGAACAAAGTCTAAAATGCTGTTACAGAAGAGAATACTCCCACAGTAGAGTTACTCAGGCCACAGCTGAGATCCTGCTCTTGCTTCTTTATTTCTTTGCATCATATAATACATTGATAACTCTCACTTTATGAACAGCCATGCTCCTGTGTAAGTGGAAATGTTGAATCCTAAAGCCTCACACACTCTGGTGAGAGTTAAGTAGGTTTTCTGATAGAGCAGATTTCAAGCGTCATAAACACAGAAGGCGTCTGTATTTATATACAAGTCTCTCTCATGGGGCCTCAAAATGCAGGTCAGCGTGGAGCTCCCTATTTCTTAACATGGCTCCTAGCAGATTATACACAGAAATTACATGCCTCCAATTTAGTGATATATTTGCCTGCTACTAAGCCTGAGATCACTCCCATGAATAGTTAGCAATCCTTTCTGGGTAATGGATCTCAAAGGAATATCTGTCTTCCTGACTGACATACAGAGGAATAAGCACCATGAGATCTAAATAGCAGAAGTTTGTCTAGATTTAAAGAGTTGGGTTTTCAAAGTTTTATATATGCTTAGTGGATCTAGATTAGAGGAAAGCCTGAGACTCACATGAGCTCAGTGGAATCAAGTTCTTAAAAATGGGGAAATAACCAGAAATAATAGTCCCATTACAGAGGAAGAAAATCATGCTTCTGGTTATCAAGAAATTCTGTGGCTAAATAATAATGATTTTCCATAAATCTAGATTGTATTAGTTAAGAACATTACTTCTGATTTAAAAAAAAAATCCATAGACTAATGAATAATTAAATAGTCAGGGTGATACTTGAAAGCTGGAAAAGCATTAAGTAGAAGCTGAAGTAGGAGCACACAAGGAATTAGGATTTTATTTCTTACCTGGATCATCTCTTTGTGGACATGTCCTATGAGCTGTCGACAGCCTGCAGACAAGATCCGGGGAGGGCAATTGGAGGGCCCAGGGCCCAGCAATAACCTGTCTGGAACAGACAGTGGCTTGTAGCAGAGGTGCTGGAGGTGGCAGAGATAGGTTTTGAGAAGCCATGGTGGCGGCAACACTGAGTTAAAACCAGAGGCCGCCGAACAGGAGTCCAACCTGCTGCTTGCAGCACTAGGAACACACTGCTCACCCCTGACCTTAAATACATGGCAAGCTGGGCTGAGCAAAAACAAACAGATCTTAGATCAGATAAATGCTAGCACACCTCCCTCTTGTTTCTCTCCTCTTCTGAAAAATCTTCCAGTGACTGTCATTGGTCACCAGGCTCCTTGTGAATATGAGCTTATCTTTAGAACACAGCCTCCAACTTACTTACTCCTTGGTTTTCTCCCAGAGAGTTCTGTGCTATCTAATGCCTTTGGCCTTCCTTGCCTGGGAATTCTACACCTGTTAGAAGCTGGACAGTTAAATATCATGCAAACAAAGATCTGAAGGAGACTTATTTTCCTTGTTCTTTGGGCAACACAGAGAATCTTCCTATGCTGCCTCAACTTCTGTAGAAGTTGCTTCCCTCACAGAACGGAGAGAAACTGGACAACTGGACCATTATGTTTGGTTCTGTCTGAAATCCCTGAAACTATATAAAATTGAAGTTTTATTCTTTATTGTAGTTGTCTAACACTGGCATGTTGAGCAGTCGCTGGTTATAGTTTGCCAGGAACAGTGAATTCTAGATTAATAATGGGGTTAACAAGTAACTGTGCTTCGCCTTCTGCTGGTTGAAAGACTGGTTTTTGCTGGAAAATACTGATGTCCTAGATCTGGAGGGTTTTGATAATGCTTTTGGTTGGCATGCATATCTATGGTATGACAAGGCTAAGGCTCATAAATTGTTCAAAAACCACATTGTCAGAAAGGCAATTTTTGCAGTCTGGATGAAGTATAAAAGACTTATTAGAGTGCAAAACACCGAGGTGGCTATCACCGGTGGAGGCCAAGGCCCGAAAAAGACTCAATATGGAGGCCTACTGGCCGAAATATTGGGAATTAATAGAAAACATTGGAGACAATTGGAAGCTGCAGAGCCAGGACAAATTAAAAAATAAGGTGCGAGACTGGTTACATTATGCTCAAATTCAAGAGGTTTTTAAAATGGATAAAAAGGTGGGTTTCCAGGTGGAAAAATCGAAACTAGAGACAGAATTGTTAGAACCAAAGACTAAGACTTTATCGAGAATGTATAACTTGCTGCTTAAATGGAATACACAGGATGAGGGTAGTTAAATCTGCCATGATAAAATGGGCACAGGATGTTGGACACAACATAATGTTTGAAGACTGGGAAAGGTTATGGAACACCGGAATGAAGTTCACGGCATGCATTGCCTTGAAGGAAAACATTATGAAAATGGTATACCGGTGGTACATGACCCCAGTCAAGCTAGCTAAAATATATCACCTGTCTGACAACAAATGTTGGAAATGTAAGAAGGCAGAAGGGACATTTTTCCACCTCTGGTGGACCTGCCCAAAAGTGAAGGCCTTTTGGGAAATGATACATAATGAATTAAAAAAGGTATTTAGGTATACCTTTTCTAAGAAACCTGAGGCCTTCCTGCTGGGTATGGTGGACCAGAAAATGTTAAAGAAGGATAGAATTTTGTTTATGTATGCAACTACAGCAGCAAGAATACTCATCGCAAAGAACTGGAAGACACAAGATTTACCCACGCTGGAGGATTGGCAGACGCAGTTGATGGACTACATGGAATTAGCTGAGCTGACTGGCAGAATCCGAGATTTGGATGAAGAAATAATCGAGGGAGACTGGAGAAAATTTAAAGACTATTTGCAAAAACATCATAAGCTGTATGAATCTTAAGTCAGTGCATGACTTAGAAATACTATGCTTTGGCAAACAGGATTAAGTAAATGTTAAAATAAGTGATAAAAAAGAAAAGGAGACAATTTAAATTGAACATGTTATGTTTATATGAAAAGCATTGAAATTAAGATACAATATATTGAATTTGGATGCATAACAAATTGAAAGTTACAATAAGGTATGAAACAAGGTAACAAATTGCTGACATTATTAAACTATAAAGAATGCAGTTCCGGAGGGTGTGGGGAAGTCCAAATATGGTTTATTTACCTTTTTTTGGTTTGATCTTTAATTTGTTTTTGAATGTAAAAGAAAAGAAAATTGTTTCTTGCATTTAATGTTTTTGTGGTGTTTGGATTGTTTGAAGTTATGGAAAGGAACGCAATAAAAAATTTATTTAAAAAAAAAAAAAAACAAGTAACTGTGCTTGCCTGCTTATTGGCAGAGCCTGACTGAAGAAATCCCCTCCTCGCAAGAAATAGGGTGACCTGTGTGTTATTCTGTGTTCCTTTTTTTGCCTGACTTGCTCCTTCTTTTCCCTCCAACCCATCCTGTGATCCACCCTTCAGCTCTGAAGCTCCTTCTGCCTCCGACTGTTGCCTCCTGCCTGGTACAGTTCCCCACAAATCACTAGCCCCCTCTCCCGAGTCAGACACCAGCCCCCTTTCTCCCTGTGTGCACTCGTCAGCATTCTGCCAGTCCTGACATGTAAGGGAACTGCAGATGAGTGCATCTAATAACTGAAATAAGTACTATGCAGACATAATTGTAAGAGCAGCTGGTTCACAGAGGTATATCTGCTTGTCTGCTTCTGTACGTTGAAGTAACCAGGTAAAGCTGAAAGTGGCAAAAGGCAATTAATAGGAGACAAGCAACAATTCACTACACACAACTGTGTCCTGACTGTCTTGCAGTCTGGGGACAGATGCTACAACTTCACTAATTGTTTTCCCCTGGGCGAGTAGTATAAAAACGTAAGTTGCACATGTTCCTTAAGATCACAGTAGAGCACCTTTAGCTGTCAGTAGACATAGCCCACTGTAAATATATTTATCTTGCTTTCCTCATATTTCTTTTTTAATTTCCTAATGGGTTCACTTGATCTACAAAGAGTTTCAATGTGCAGTGCAGCAACTTCTCTATGGCTAGACCACAACTATTTTTTGCTTAAAAAATGTATGTAGCTGAGATGCATGCATTTGTGTCATGCCGAGTTCATATTAGTGTTTTCAGAGCTCTCATATGATTGCTGAGCAACCTCCCCACCTCCCACCCCCTGCCCCTAGCTTCATTTCAGTAATAGAACAATGGTGACAGAACAGGAGGGGGCAGAACTAGCCAAATTCTGTAATACAGTAGTTTGAACTTCTGAGGGCCAAACTAGACATTAACGTCATGAATGCAATTAGTGTAAATAGTAGCTGAGCTTGAGCAACCTCAAGCACAATGAGGGGAGAAGAAGAGAAGTGGAATTCTTTCTGCTTCACCAGAATCCCTGTAAAATTCCTTACAAGGCAAGGTCCTATTTCTAGACTGAGGTGATGAAACCTAGTATATCTACTGGCTATGATGAGCAGTGGGCCTGGGGCCAATGGGACCTCCAGACAGCCGTTTTATTGAACATTCACCCTGATTTGGTTTTTCACAAAGATGGCAGGGAGGTTAGACAACACCAGCTATTTATTCAACATTCATTCTGATTTTGTCTGAGGGGAGGTTAGACAATGTTGCATCAAACAATTGTTTTTTCCAGCGCATTCCTTCATCACTTTCCTTTTTGCAAAAAGTTTGGAGGAAGGTTTGTTGCACAAGAGCACCAATAATCTTCAATTGCACCCATCTGAATGCCATTATCCCACTAGAAGATAGCAAGTTTCTCTGGTTTTCAGTGACTGAATTACTTCCTTTCTACCCTTTCTCACAATTTTCCTTTGTAGCCGTTTGCATTTTCAAGGAAGCTCACTTTGTATCAGACCATATACAGTACTTCATTCTGAGAATCTGTCCTTTTACTGGGGCAACTTGTATTTCTGTGATATTAAGCCCTCTAATGTTTAGTTTAGCATTTTATGTACCATGAGCCCTTGCCAGCTAATAAACACTAGGGTCCAAATGCTCTGGCAGGATGTATGTTCTAGCACAGCACTGTCAAAGGGAAATGCTGCCTTTTAGTTTTGACAAAGTGATTACTTTGTTTCTATGGATTTTCAAATTAAGTCAAATAGGAGAAAAATAAATTATTCAGGATTGCTTGGCTGGGCAGTGGCAGTCTTAAACCTCATGATGTTGCAAGCAGAGCACTGTGGCCCTCGTTTTGCATTCAGTATAGTTTGTCTGAGAGAGGACTTAAAATAGTAACCCTCTAATTCATTTTAACTCCCAACTCCAATAAACTCAGCCAGGATGGTCAGGAATGATAGGAGGTATAGTCCAACATCTGGAGGACTGCAGGTTTCTCATCTTTGCTCTAAAGATTAGAGCAACTGCAAGAATCGAAAGATGCACAATTCAAACACGTTTACTTGACATCCGATTTTGATCATATTCTGACCAGGAAATCAATAGATCATACTTTGATTAAACAGTTATATAGAAAGCCTCTTTCTCTAATTTCTAAGGCCATAACCATAGTGAAAGAATACTTATTCAGAACTCATCACACTTGACATGTTACTGGTTTGATTCACTGTGAGCACTGTGCTACATTAGATTTGAAAATCAGATCAATGATTGCAAAATAAACACTTTGAGATGAAGCATAAGAGCTGTGAGATCACCCAGACTTTTTGTCCTGTTCCCCCATGACCCTGATTTTTTTATTATCCTTATTTATACTTCTGGAAAGCAAGAAGGCATGAGGGAGTGGCTACAATAACTTTTTACTGTTCCATTGTTGCATATCCTTGACATATCAGCTGGAGCTGTTGACCTCATTTTATTTATTCAGCAGTTGTAGAAAAATTCAGAAAGTGTAGCAGCTGCTCTCACTGAGACAATAGACTATGTGATTGCAGTTTATTCTTTATGTTACTCATCCTCGGACTCAGCTATACAGCTGCAAATAAAACGTTTTAAATGTGTTGTAAAGTGCAATATACAAATGTGACACTAGATGGTGACAGTGAGCTATGCAAAATTCAATGTATTTTTCAAAACATTTTTTTAAAAAGCATTTTCACAGCATTTTTTGTATGTGTGTAGATTCCACTCTCCTCTCCTCTTCTATTCTTCCAGCTTCTCTTCTGCCCAGATTTGTGTTTAGCTAGTACATTTGTCATACTATCTTCCTCATTAGTAGTAGGGTGATGAGATTTTGTAGGCATCTTTCTCTCTGTCACAAGCAGGTCCCCTTCTGGCTTGGGTGCAAATTTCCCATTCAGATAAACCAGCCTGCCACGTACAAGAGTGGCAAAGACCTCACCATAAAGCTGGAAACCCAAATATGGGGTTAGCTAAAGCAGGGGGGGGGGAGAGAGAGAGAGAAAAGTAAGGATAAATAGAATGCAGAATCAAAGGTCTTTGGGTAAATGTGTTTTTGTTTATGGTGGTTCTGATCTGTCCATAGCAGATATTCACAAGGCAAAATAGATGCAGGGGTGTAGAAAGCTCCAAGTGAACAAAAAGACTAGAGGTGAATTGAGGCCTTATGAACCCCTCCATCCAGTTTACCTTTCTCAAGCTCCATGCCCAAAGAGTAGGTATCCTTAAAGGGCCAACTTCCTAACCTGGAGCACTTCTTTTCTCTTCTGTGGCTTGCTGGCCTGGTGAATTTTGTTGGGTAGGCCTGTAGAGAAAGTACTTGACTCTTCAGGCAAATGGGACTTGGCAAAAGGCATCTGTGAGGGTTCTGGCTCAGGTTCTGTAGGTTCCACTAGCCTCAGGTTCACTTCCAGGGAACCTGGTGGTGCAGCAGTCCTGGCCTCAGCCAGCTCATTCTCCTCTGACTCTGAGCTTGAGGTTAGGGCCATGAAACTAATAAATAATCTAAGATACCAGATGTGAAAATGATTTAGACTCCTTCAGCATAGACATGCGTCCTGTTGAGTGCCTACTAGGGCCAGTCCTTATTTAAATTTGTATGAGGCAGATCCTCTGACCCAGTAACTTCTGACCTGGAAAAGATAAAGACTGAATAGCCCATAAATGTCAAGGCTGCAAAAAGGCAAGGAATGTTGAAAGCCGACGGCTGTGCTCACCCCTCCTGGTGGTATTTTGCTTGTTGGTTTTTGCCTGCTAAGCAAAGTGATAGATGGAGGTGAAGATTACTAAACAGTCAGTTCATTATAGCCTCTACCACCACAGAAATGACACTTGGGATGTTCCATTTGTTTAACAGTAAAGCCTGCCCTAAGCAGAGGCCAAAAATGTAATGAATTATACAGTAAATTACAGTAAGGTGTTTTGAGGGTGGGATGGCAGGGGGCAGTAATAGGAACACTGGGAGAATGCAGAAAACATGAGCCTTCCCATACCTTATCCTTGTGATGAATTATGTTTTTATTCACCTGTGAGAGAAAGAAGGAGACAAAATAATTATAATACAGATTAGTTTGAGGAATGTTGCTTACTAAGGATAATGTATACAACCTAATATTATTGTCCCTGTGTTGTATCAAAGAGAATGGTAATATCAGAACTGGCACTTTTCAGATCATCAATTATAAAAATTTCAAAGCACTCCCATTTACTCTGCACCCAGTGAGCTACCACCGCTGGCTTGGGAAGTGGTATATACATGATGTTCGCTACAATCAATATCTATCTTGTCTCTCTCTAGCTAATAACCATAACCATAATAAGTGTTTTGATGTATCTTTGATCCAAATTGAGAAAAATAATGCCAGACACCCTAAGTGTGTCAAGACTACTCTCTTGCTAAGGCCGTTGAAACGACCATTCTGCTATGCCTTTTTATACTGGAAACATTCAAGACCAAAGTGTTTTAACTGATTTTAACATTTTATTTTTATATTGTTTTATCTTACCTGAGACCTTCTGGTCAAGTAAGGATAATAAATCCAAAGAACAACAACTACACTTTGGACTTCTGTCTCATAAAACTGGCACATTTAATTCTTCATGTGGTATTGGGTCACTTCATTGTTTTCTGTAAGGGCTTTGTTTGTTATAACTCTTTATTTTATTAGATTTGCTATATCCTGTTTTTGGCTCTATAGCAGACTTCCAAGGTGATTCACAAAATTTTAAAAATGACCTATATCCTCTCCCATCCTTACCTCAAACTCCTTTTCTGGATTCCAGATCACCAGGTCTGCATCCATCCCAGGGCCAAGTGATCCTTTACGGTCTTCCAGCCTGCTCAGAATGGCAGGATTTTTGCACATCAGTTGCACTAGGTCATGGAAGGAGAACCCTCTGGATTTTGCAGAAGTCCAGAAGAGAGGGAGACCTATGAATTTTCCAGTCACAATTAGTAGAGGAATTTATTGTTAAGAAGATTGTTCTTCCCTGGTTTCTTCTCAAAGTATATCACTTAATGCCACTTAAAAAGGAGACTTGAACATTTGGTCAAGTTCTATACCAGGGGTGAGCAGTCCTCCTGAGAGGGCCACATGTGGCAATACGTTGGGTCACCCATAAACACATTCACTCACACTCATTCAAACATACACACATTGAATCGCACACACTATTGTGTGATTGTATTGGGGACGGGGGAGCACCAGGGAAGTAAATTCATGCTATTTTCTTCAGAATTTTTGTATGTAAACATATGGAAATTTAATCAATGAATCGGCTATTCTATGAAAAGTGATCTGATCAATTAAGATTTCTTTGTCTGAAAGCCATAACCTACCTAAAAGAAAATTATTCTGCATTCAATGGAACTTATTTTGAAGTAACTATGCTTGGGATCCAGTTTTTGCTTTATTGAACATGCTTTTACTTTATTTACATAGTGAAAAACTAAATGAAATGGGCATTTTGAACGGGGTATTGGTTAGCTTGAGGACACTAAGGGCACCTGGAACAACAGGATGACAGGTCATTCTTTGGTAAGGGCCATATCAATGGTGGATCACATGCTTTGCATCCTGAAGGTTACTGTTTTAATTCCAGACACCTCCAGTTAGCAGGCAATGGAAAGACCTCTGAGGCCCCACATTCTGGAGAGATACTGCCTGTCAGTGTAGTATATTCTTGAGTCATGATATGAGGATATCATCCTTTCCATTATTAGCAGTACATGCTCATTGGATGACGATAAGAAAAGAACAGCATATATAAAATAGTTCATAAACATATTACCAAACTGTAGTGAAGCAATCCCTGCTGGGGCCTTAAGGAAGTCTCCATTGTTCAAATCTTTCAAGTCTCGGGAGCAAGGAGTATGGGCTGAGACAACCATGTCTATCTCTCCACTTCCAAAGCTGCCCACAGCTGCTCCTGAGACATGAGAAGAAGAGTTTATGCCAAGGAAATACTTTGTAGTTCTCCTTGAGTAAGGTGAAGCCATTGAATGATCAAGGAAGGGTCACATCCCTTTTGGGGCCAGTGGCACATTTGCAAACTGGATACACAGCTGTGGGCACCACAGCCAAGCACACTTCACAACCTGTTCTACTAGCGACAGGAGCATGCTTCTTTCAACACTAATT